TTATATATATTATACATTTAAAAAATTCAAATAAATGCAAGTCTAGTAGCCAATTTGCTAAATTAAAGCTCATATTTATGAATTGGATTGAATAACTAGATAAATGAATGCATTTCATTCTTGGAAACCAATTTTGTTTTATCAATGTAAAGTTAAGAGCGTCAACTTTGGCGTCGCATTTGAGGCTAACTGATAATTTAAGGGTAGCCAGCAGTAACAAGCTCAACTCGTTACGAAGGGACAGCTTGAACACCCTTAAAACTGTGGCGTCGCCTTGCCGGCCATAACGGTAACTATCACGCCCCCAAAAGAAAAAAAAATGGGTAGTCGTAAAAAATCACATCACATGGCCCTAACAAGTAGCATGATTTTGCGGCTCGTCGACGCCTCACATAGCAAATACCTAAATTACAATTATGACCAAATAATAACCCGAAAAAATGGAAAAAGAAAGTAGCTGCTGAGTGATAGAGAAAGGGAGAGGGATAGAGAGTGAGAATACCTGGAAAAAATGCAAAACCTTTTTATTTGCACATTTTGTAGACTCAGCCTATGTGTGTGTGTGTGCGTGTGTGTGATGGCCAACTAGTTTCAAGGGAGCCTATGTACCCTGCCATATATAGCCTATAATTTGCGATTATGTTTGGGTTCGCTGCAAACGTCGCCCATTGTTTGGAACGTTTCGGTTTGTGTTGTTATTGCAATTTGGCCATTGCATGTTTGCATATTGAAACATTCCAGCGTCTAAACACTTTTTACCACATGAACAAGTAAGCTCACACGCACACACACATACACAGGTGTGTGGCAAAGTTTGAGGTTTAACTTCACGTCTGGTTGATTACTAAATGTTTTGGTGGTTTGGCTTTTTTAGTCGAAGGAATACAATGTGAAAGATGAATGAAATCCAAAGATTTTGTATAAAACATATGTCTATTTAGTATATTGAGTAGTATTGAGTATTGATTAGGAGTGTATATGTGAATCTCTTTAACAAAAATGTTTTTATTATGGGAACAGTTTTTGATTTAATTATTTATTTATTTTTATTTTTTAATTTCACTAAAGTTTATTAATCTTTCATGTAATACGTGTTTAAATATTTATATTTTAATATATTGAAAATGAATAAGCTGTCTATATATACATATATCTATTTAATTTTGTGAACATTGCTTGAGACAGTAATAATAATTTTGCATATGTAAATTTATTTACTAAAAAGGTATTTATTTTGAGATTTTAGAATATTTTTATATATTTCTGTATCCTATTTATGACATTGCTACAAGTCTTTAATCAGGACAACATTTTATACTTTGCCGAAATTTAAAAATAAATCATATCGTTCCATTCAAAACCAAGTTTGTAATTTATTAAAAGATTTTATGGTTAATATCATGTATTTATCGTTACTACATACTGTTGGTCAAAATAGAACGTTGTCTGTATTATACCAGAAACAAAACTTTGCCAAATCTTGAATACCTGATCTTAAACTTTAATGTTAAATGTTAAATGTTAGGTATATATTTCTTTTATATTATCATTCTGTCCGTTTTCAGTTTCATTTCTGAATTTGACTTTATTTACACATTGTTGCAGTGCGATTTATCAATGTAGTATATGGTATATATATGACAGTTAGCACCGCCCCGGCAGGTTGCTAACAGCTGCAGACAGCTCTGGCTGCTTGTTGGCCAGGTTGTACGACTGACGACTGCACGCATCTCATACCGTTGAACTTGAAACGGAAAGTGAATGTCCTGTCTGTTAGACACTCCAACTGTCTGACATTTTTTTGGTGAAATGCAGGCAAAGGAAATCGCGTAACGAAATATGCCAGCACGCAATGTCTGCCAAAAGCGCTGCAGTCGGTCCGACTAACTCACTCTCAGAGAAAAGAAATAATGAAAAAAAAAAAACTTTACCAAAGTGCCATAGGAAGTCCACAAAAAAAAAAAAAAAAAAAAAGAAGAAGAAGAAAAAATAATGTCGCCTTTCCGCTTTGTTTGTGCTGTCTTCCCACTCTTATCGTGCGTCGGCCCAGCTTGCCAATATTTTCTATATTTATTTGCATTTACCAGCTCTTGACACATTGATTTAAGCAACAATTTTTGATATATTTATCAATACTTGCTGCCAAGCTAAGTAAAATTGCATTGTTTTTCTTTTTCTTCTTCTTCTTTTTTTTTGGGTGCTGTTCCAACATTTTTCCCCCTTTTTCTCAGCACATTTTTGATTTGGGTTGCGGAAGTCGCTCGTCGTTGTTGCCGTCGCTCTGCCCCTTCGTGGCGATATATGTTGGCCACAGTTTATTCACTTAGGGAACCGTTGAACTTCCGCCCGTTTGTACCGCTTGGCAGGCCTTTACCGTTAGCCATTTTGGCAGAGCTAAGTGTGCTCAATTAGCTAAACACCTCAAAATGCTGTAGACAGACATATTTTGTATTTATAACACATATAGCCTGCATAGACAGATAGTTATTTACATATTGAGGCTCGAGGCGTTGCGGTAGGATTTGAATGGTATTGTAGTGTTGCATTTTGAGAGCTTTAAATTATAGATTCTAAGGGCTTGAATAAAAATAAGAGAGCAGTGAGAGAAAATAATGGGGATCATAAGGGAAATATTTAGGTATTTAATATTTATTTGGTACACAAGTTTATTTGTATTCGCTTACAGTTTATTTTATTTGTTTTTAATTATTTATTGCTATTGTTGCAAAGAATTAATTCTAAATAACAAGTTTTAAGCCAAAGCAACGAAGGCCTTCGGGCATCGCATAAAATGTTTTCTCATAACATAAGTAATTTGAGGTGGAAAGCGAAAAGGAGAAATCGTGAAGCAGAATTAAAAATAGAAACTAACTTATGCAGCGCACTTTCTCCTCCTTTTTCTTCGCCTCTCTCCTTATCTGTGTGTCTCAATTTCTACCATTTTCTTCATCCTTTCTCTCACTCTATATATCTACATTTCTATTTGATATTCGCTTACTGTCTTTCATCTTATTTCTCTTTCTTTTCATTTCCTTTCAATCTCACTTGATTATCTCTACCTCCTTCGCTTTCTCTGTATATCTCTTTATATATCACTGTATATCACTTCATTTCTCTCACTCTCTCAATCTTAATCTTTCATTCTCTTTACCTCAATCAAAATCTGTCTCTTTCTGTCTATCTCTATCTATCTTTCTCCATGTCCCACTCTCTCTATGTCGAACTCTTCCTCTTCCTGCATCTCTCATTTTTACTCTCTCTCTTTCTTACACTCTCTTGCAGTTATCTCATTTCGCCATTATCATAGTATATTTGTTTCTTTGTCTCACCATTTCTCTTCCTTCTCTGATCGCTTATCTTCCTCTTTTCTCTGATTTTACCTATCGAGGTTAATATTTAATATTATTTAATATTTTTGAGTGGTTCTCAAAACCTCATATTGTATTTCTGGTGCTTCAATGCGATTTCCAGCATCTACATAATTAAACTTTTAGCGAGTTGCTGAAAATATTCTTTAACTACATTTGATAATGACTGCATTGAAATCAATTTTGGAATAGAACAAAAAAATCAGAAAAAATAAATAAAAATTAATATTATTTGGTTAGTCTTTTGTCCCGGATATTTAATTTATTTTTAAACTATATTTCAGTTATTCAAACCGTTTGTTTATCATTTTTAATTTTTTTTTTAAGTTAGCAATATAAACTATTTGTTCAAGCATGAACATGTTGAACTCTCTAGCAGTTTAAGTTTAAAGTGCAGTTTCAGTTCCAAAGATTTAACTTCATCCTCGACTCACAATTGTTCAATTCTGAGAAAGTTGTGCTCCCTGGCCACACAGATTGTAGAATTAACAAGACATGAACAAAGACTTTTTTCATATTCCACGCTGAGGCTCACATCAACCGTAATGCAAACTTGAAGTGCAAACTATAAAGTAAACTTTTTATTTTTTGTTCTCTTTGTAATATTTTTTTTTGTGTATTTATTTTCTTTATCACTTTCACTGCCAAATGGCCAAAGAATTTCCGCACTGCACTAACGTAGATTTATTTGTTCCGCCTTTCGCTTCCGGACGCGTCTGCACACAGTTACAACTGGCCGCGAACTGCGCGAAATGCGAAATGCCGCTGATAATCAAGTGTCAAAATTCATATTCAAAAATTCGAATACTGCCAGGCGCTGACTCCCCGACTCTGGCTACGAGAACGATAACGGGAACGAGAAGGACTCGTCAGTGGCCATGGCGCTGCGCATGTGTCCTGCAGCCTGCCGCAAATCGTGGCATTGCCCGAAGCCCGTAGTCCGTAGCCCGACGCTGGGGCAGTCGCCAAGGTGTTGACGCCGGCTGTTGCTACAGCAGCTGCTAAAGCGACTGCTGCTGCCCTGGGGGTGCCTGGCCAAAGGGTATAAAATAGTAGTAAATATTTCATTCATAAAGTGCATAGCGTATTCATATGCACGTGTCGTGATATACGAAGCTGTTGCTATAGGTTTGTATGTATGTGTGACACGGGTTCTTGCACTTGCCATCCAAATTGGGTATTTACAATTACAAACTCTGATCAAAGCGCTGTCAATCATTGTTAAACTTTATTAGAGTGAGCCATCAATAGTGGACAAAAGAAACATAATTAAATTTATGTATATTACATTCATAGTTGGAAATGGTTGTAATTAATAAATAACTGTATTGGAGAAAGCATTTCTATTGAGTTGTATTTGAGTTAATTAATGTAAGAAAAATAGTTGCAAAGCTTGTTTATTAATTTAAGACTAAGTAAGTAATTAAGAATAATACATACATAAAATTGTGTTCCCCTAATTGCAAAAAAATATTTTTGTATATAATAGATACAATATTATTTATCTTA